GTCGTTGTCCTTTATTTATTTACTATTTCATATTCATTTAATGTCGTATCTTGAAGGAACAATGGTCTCTGGCAGGTCTAGGATGCGGCCATGCCACTGAGCTGGTAGTATCGCCTGATTCCATCAATCGAGAACCAAGACTGCGAACGCCATTTTAAGTATACTTACCCTGTCCACCTTACGTGTTTCACCGTCACTATAATAATGTCTCTGCTGAGACGCCAACAATTATGATGCCGATTATTTTCTTAACGTTATACGACATGTTTTTTTATATATATATAACCCGACTAAAAGTTTAAAAACGTAAGTGCTTGGGGCAAAACAAGTGTCGACCTTTCGCCTGTTCTTCGCCAGTGAAAATTCTTTTAACGTCTCAGTCTAAACCAGGTGTTCTAAAAAAATAGCTGAAGAAATTAACTTGGGGGGGTCGTGAAATACGTTTCCTGGGGTATCAGGAACAGGTCCCCGACGTCACGCTTAGTTTCTGCAATGATAATGTGACGTTAAACGGAGTTGATATTAACATAGCGCACTCGTTTCTTCGCGCCCCGAACGAAACAGCCTTGGCACATTCCTCACCGAGCCACACGCGACGCCGACGACAAGAAGAGGACTTGGACGATCGACTCTTTGTTCCCTGGATTCTGGGCGCCGCAGAAGTATACGTGGGAGGTCGTGTTGGTGGCAGAGCCTGTTCGTGCCACGCAGCAAATGCTCGCCTATTTGGTTGCGCATCAAATAAACTTTCTCAAGTGCCAGTTTTTTTCTTTCCGATCGGAAGCCGCCAGTGCCTGGTAACTGAAGGTCCTTTGCCCGGAACGTGGGCATTGTAATTAAAGTTATCCGGTTCTTGAATTACTTCACTTCTTTCCAGTAGAACAGAGCGATCTCTAATTGTGGCTATACGTCTATTTCGAGAAAGTGACTACTTTGCGTACCAAGGTATAGCAGGTGTTACTTTGCGCCATTCGCGTACGTGCTAGGGCGTGGGGGCCGTTCCCACTCGGGAGGGATTATCCTAATTCAAGGATTGGTGTAGGAGAGGAACTAAGAAATATGCACGCACGAAAAGTTCCGTCTAAACTCGCGGCGGCCTATAGATGTTGACCAATCGTATACACACACTCTCCCACATGTATACGCTGCTTCCCGCCGTGCGCACAAAAACACCCATCGTTGGAGTTATTCGGCCAGTGAAAGAATGAGGAGACTACATTTCCATTTATACAATTTGATCATATATCTGAGAAGGAAAGAAAAGAAGGTGAGTATGGCTCGCCCAATGGTCATGCAGACCAAGTGGCAAAATAGTGTTTACTGCAGTTGTCTCTCGAGTTGAACTCCGCACTGCTCGTGTACATCGTCCAAAGGACGCGGAGTTTCTCAGCAGACATAATGACAGACTTGTCTGCGGACAGGTGTCAAAGCACGCTCGCTTCACACGTATGTATGTTTTGAACACGTCTGTAAACCGTTACTGTATGAGCAATGTGACAAGACACCGTCAAGGACGAAACACATCTCGGACAGTTGCCGCAGGCTGTCTGAGGCGTTTTTAGACTGCATGGTGTCCATTGCATTATGACACCGATTGCCCTCCTCACTGCTGGGACGTCTGATTAAGGAAATACCCAGAGTAAATTGCTGATCCGCGTCCACTGCCGGGCAATATATAAACTATGCCAATGTCAGCCTATCTGCGCACTGCTATAGCTATTGGGCCATGGAACGCAGTGATTGCGCGGTATAGCTCTCTCCCGTGGAATATCCGACGCTGAGCGTGTATGCCGCGGCTCATTGAGTCTGCAAATCTTCACCCGTGGGACAAGCGCCGGAAAGGTGTGTACAAGCGGAGATTTCGAAACGTGCGCGAACGCTACGACGACGAACGGAACTTCTTTCCGATATTCCGTCCATGGCGAGCATTACAATGATCTCTACCGTACGCCATCGTGATCGACATTGCAAAGTTGTGACCAACGTGGAACGTGTCGTTTCTCGAGGGTCACCCGGTGACAAAAAACAACTCCACGATCACTGTGTTGCGCCACATATGCCAGTGCCTCCGAGAGACCCGCAGAAGCGGATAGGATCGTCACTTCCGATTATGCGAAACCAATCGCCAAAACACGTGTTTGTGTGTTTGTTTTTTTCGTTTATCTTGTGTTATGTTCGCCATGGACATACAAAATTCTCAATCGAGAATTTATTGTTTCCAAGCGTACACTTCTGACGCCCAAAAGCGCGGCGCTGGTAACACTCTCTACTAATGAAGGAAGAAGTTGAAGGTTGCTATGGTGCTCCTAAGCTGATAATTCGAGGCCTATACATTCGAGACATATCAGCACGATGCGAAGCAGGAATTGAATGCAAGAGCTGCGTTAGCGTTCACTTCTAACCCGGGCCCGGTCAATCTGTTTGTAGCGCACAATGGGCTACAAAGCCCCTTGATGGATAGAACTTCATCAAGGCGTCTGTGTGGGTTGGCGCCACACAGACGCCTTGACGCTTCGTTTTGACTGGTTGCATCTTTCTGGCCATCGACACTCAGAGTGATCGAGAAATAAATGTACAGTGAAAAGCACATTCCCGTTTGCCGTTGACTTGCGAACGTGACGGTGCCTTATAAAACACTGCAGACTGCAGGTTCATTGCCGCCATTAGTGAAGTAAAAGTTAGACTGCCATTTAATTGAGCCACCAGATGGAACTGAATTGCGGATCGATTGACTGCAGACGAAATAAATAAACTAGGTTTGTCGGCTAGAGGCGGCCCCCTTCTGTGCAGCCTCCACAAAGCTGGGCGGAATTCAGACACTTCCCGAGGTAAACCGCGGAGCTGGTTTGGGGGCGGGAACGCCGCTTGCTCTTTTTCAACTGCTCTGCATGACGTTCACGCTCGGGCACGTTTTGCGGAGGTGCATGTACCCTGACCGACGTCATGCGCAGTAGTAAGTCGCCTTGAACAAAACAACAGCCAACAAAAAAGCCAGTGGTAGGCGTCGTTCACCGAGATAACTAATGATCGCTGCGAACACCTGCACGTCCAGCAACTCGAGCGGTGTCTACCATAGGATCCAGGGGTATCGAACGGAAAAGAAAGAGAAAATAAAGAAAAAGAGTGCAAGAGGAGGCTGTGTTGAACGAATATCTTCGAATGTTCCTGCTTGGGGGCGTTATAAGTCTCCGTCACACTATTATTGCATCGTGAAAAAGACTGCCCGCAGGCACTATCTTAGATGTTCTTTTCCCTTTATGAAGGCCTTGTCACATAGGTCATACGAAATCCCTTCTACAGAAATGTTGGAAACATACGCATGTATAAAACAAACATGCTTTGAACATGCTTGATTCGGATAATGTTTCTCATCATGTTTGCGGCGCACACCGCGTCTCTTGTATCGAGGTGAGGCTTTACGTGTTCCGGAGCTGCTGTGCCCCATGAATCTCTTCGCACGTTCGTGCCGAATGACGAGTTATTTATTCATCAAGTATCGCCTGGCACCGAATTGGATGCGTAAAGCTTTCCTTTCTCTCCTTCAGATGAGAACAGAAGCGATCTCTTGCGAAGGCGCTTTGAGCACCGTCTGTACGCTTCCAGCAAGAGTGCTGACAGCTATAGCCGCCCTTGTTATCATGGCAAAACTTGCAACGAATGATTTGTACTATCTCGGAGCTGAACAAACCAGGTCGTGAATTATAGAGAACTCCACTTTGGAGTCTGATAGTGCTACGTCCGGCGAAATGCAACCTTGTTGTTGCTGTTGTTGTCGTTGTTGTTGTTGTTGTTATTTTTGTCCGGCGAAATGCAACCTTGTTGTTGTTGTTGTTATTTTTCGTGTTTTGAGGAGAAGGAACCTTTTTGGCTTTTGTAGAAATGTCTCTGCAACCTTCTTTTCTTTATATCTTTGTTAAAAGTAATAAACTGAACATCCACACAAATTTGAGAGCTCGATCGCCACAAACTGTCGCGGTTCGCATTTCTTGGTATGCCTTTACGGGTGCATAGTAAGCGAATGATTTGCCAGCCAACGTCAAAATACGATTGAAATAAAACTAGAGCGGGTGAACCAATAAGCAGCGGACCGTAAACAACGAGCAAAATGTCTTCCGTTTGAAAGGAGTTCGTGTTTATACAGTAAGAAACTCATTTCGTCTGGAAATGTGGCAATCGCAGTCTCTGTTGGCGACAGGCTATTTAGCCGGGCAACAAAACCACTAAAGTATACGATCTTGAACCGCACGTCAGACTGCATAAAAATTGCGAGCCAGTAAAACGACGTTTCAACCCGCAAGAGCGGGAACGGCAGCACGGATTAGCTAGGTGAGATATTCCTACCGACAACCCCACCACATCGCCAGCGTATCGTCGTTATGATGACATCAATGACGACTCACAAAACTATACGATGAGAAACTGAGAGAGAGGAGGAGATAAAAACGAGAGGGGAAGTTTGTGCGCGAGCCCTGATGGGAAGGTAGACGCTGAACGCCAACGTCTGGCGTTCGAACGCGAGACGCCGGGCGAGTAGCAGACGACGCTCTTATGTTCCCTCTGATTGGATAGAGACGAAGGAAGCTAAGTTTGCGTCTACCCACCGGGAGGCACTCACTTGATCGAATGACGTTTTAGCGAACGCCCACGTTTCATCGAACGACAGTTTAGCGAATAGTCGGACGCCGCGAAGCGTCGTTTTCGGGTGGGCCAAGTGAGTTCATATTTTTGTAACGAGTTGCCGCAGACTGTCGCCGCGAAGCGGCGTAAAGCGCAGCGCGACGGATGGGTTAACGCGCGCCCCCGTTATTCGCTAAAACGACCATTCGCTCAAATGTCGCCGTTCGCTAAAATGTCATTCGCTTTTGTGATATGGACCCCTACCCACCCACCAATCCTGCGCTCGGCGCTGCGCGCTTTTTCCCCTCCTCCTCTCCCCGAATCTCTCGTATTAGCCCCGCCGTTGTTGCCAGCAGCACATACGAGCGTGAGACACTTCTGGATCAGTAAGAAACAACCTTTAATTAAAGCTCCAGAAAACAACACGTCAGCATTTCGACTAGCATTGGGCTCTTTTTCTTTTATTTCTTTTATTTCGGCGCACTCTCGTAAATCGTTTCTAAGTTCGTGGGTTACACAATTCTATTAACGAGTTAAAAGAGCAGCGTACTTCTTCCTTTCATTCTTCCCACCGCCTTCCACGCACATACACCAAAAAAGAAAATCAGAAAAAGAAAATGAGCAAAAAAAAAAAACAAGATAAAAAAAAAAAAAAAAAAACGGCGCGATACACAGAGTTGAAACGATATCCCGCTGTTGTCGAGATTACGAAACTCAGGTCTCGCTCCGCGCTTATAAACAGCTCACGCAGAAAGGGACGTATATTTCACCGACAGTAACCATAAAATAACTTCGCTTGCTAGTCTCTCTAAACTTTCAACACTGAAAATAAGAACGAAAATCCCATTCCAAGGCATTTTATACGCAGGACACTCGAGCTTAGATCAAAATACAAACTATACAACACGCCGACAGCTTTAGGTTCTAGTGATGAGAGCGCTTCAAGCACGAACTAACCATTGAACGCTCTCAGGGGAACGGAATCCTGCATGCATGCCGACGCACGCGTGGCTTCAAGGCATGAGCTTATTTACCATGCTCCATTCATTTTAAATTTGTAAATATACTGGTGGAAGGCTTACCCTTACTGGGTCTTTTTAAAGTAAATTGTTCAAATTAAAAGCTTGCAGTAGGTGGCGTAAGCCGCCGCCCAATTCACTGGGCTCAGCCGTATCCATCCATCCATTCAAGATGGCGGATACCATAGCAAATAAAAGGTTCACCCTGCATGGTAGCCACTTCTTGACAATGCATCGACCTCTGTTGAGTCCCTTACCCTGTGAACGCACAGCGGTTATACCTAGGCCAATTTAGACAATGTCTGTCCCACTGCGAATATGTGCAATAGCTGTCGCCACTGAGGCATAGAGTATCATCATCATCGTTCGATAACGGAAAGGCCGATGATGGCTTTTTAGAGGCCATTTTAATTCCAGTGTAAGTGCGACGGCCAAGAACACAGCATTGACACAAAATTTAGTGTTTCGGCGAAAACACATCACTCACTTAGCAGTGCCGCAGAAAGTTGTAGTCGAAAATATGCTCGACCGCTCAAAGCGCCACAATTTGGTCCACACTCACAGTAAGTTCAAGCAGTGCCGAGCGTATACAATACATATAGTACATGCGTATAGATGCTTCGCGGCGTGTAAGGCAGGCGCTTTTTGTTCAATATTTCTAGCTGCAGGGATGCTCTGTGGGAGACAAGCCAACAACGACCTTTTTTTAAACGTTTTAAGTCGGACCACCCGTTCATGCAACTTAAAAGTAAAGGAGTTATCTCTCCACTACGGTACATGTCTGCCTACAACTAACTAGAAATTAACTTGTCCTCACCTGGCCTGTCCAGTAACGCCTATGACTCGGTTTTGAATTATTTCTAGTCAAGGCGCTTGTGTAGATGGATGTTACGGTCCTTTTGTGTCCTGGACTTGGTTAGAGTGAAAAGTATTACATGCGTTAAAGAAACGTGTCTAGACTTAACAAGTGCAACTGCCCCTAAGTTCTTTAAAAAGTTTCGTCGCTGTCAATATTCACAAACAAACTTCAGCAATAAAGACATTAGTTGTGAATTTATATACGTATAAGTCTCTTTTACAAATATATTTTTGGTCTGGATCTTTTGAAAGAAAACCAAAGATTCTTGCTACGTCTAACCTAACTTTTGGTCAAATACCTTCTATCAGAAGGTATTTGACCAAGAGTTAAGTTCGGACCATACCATATTGACGGGTTTCCTTACAAGGGAACCCGTCAATATGGTAGCTTGATATTAAAAGCCTTAACCTCTGGAGATAGCGCCTTCTAGGAACTCTCCTAGATTTTCTAAGCTCCTTGCCATCATGGCAAGGTCGGAAAAGGTAGTCCTGGACAGCCAGTTTTCCGCGGAATAAAGCAGACCATTTTGAAGATCGACCATATTCAAAGGGCGTGCGCGAACATTGTGAGAACACCCCAAGTAGGCACCAAAAACGAGATATTAAGTGGTAGCACTCATTGTGTTATCCTGTGCTAAAGTATTCATCAGTGCATTACCCGTAATTCTGATTTCAGTGATCGCTTCGCCATCAATAAAGGTACTGAATCATTCGATTTGAAGGATGACTACAAGTACGATTGTGGAATAGGGGCATGAGTCAAATATTTTTTTTTTCTTCTGTTATATGCAATGTAAGCAATAAAGAAAACTCTCCGGGGATATGATCTTGTCGCGTCTTTGTCCTGTCACTTTGGTGTTGAAGCAAAATGTTCGAACACACCCTCTGATGGTCTGCAAGAGCATACAAAGTACCCACTGCATTAACTAAATAACCAAAAGCGGGCGGGCCCAAAATATTGCCCTGCAGAGCAAACACAGCATCCCTGCGAAGGTACAGCAATGAAGCCGAAGGAACAGAAAGACGCTGGACCTCAGTGCACAGGCGTAGCTGTCACAGTGGGCTTGATCCTGAGCCAGGGAAACTTGGCACCCTTGGGAATGGACTTGGTCCTCCTGATGTCCGTTTCCGAAGCAGCCCTTTGGTGTGGCTGCATGGACGACGAAGACGACGACTTGGGCTGTTTCTGGGCCGACCTGGTACGGGGCTTGTCTTTCTGGAGCATCGACTGACTTCTGGACACCCTGACAGACTCGTCGGACGGCGTAACGTGGTGACTCACTCCTGGTATGTACAAGACCACCGTGTTCCTCCGGTACTCTGGCTCGCTAGCCGCGGAACCAGCCGAAGAACCTGGACCGCCGTTGGCCCTCGTCAATGGAGACGAACTCTTGGCGACTCGGCCATTGGACGACGACGTGGCGGCCTTCTGCCTCGCCTGGTAAGCGGCTGCGAGACCTCCACGCACGGAAGTGTGGTCCGAACTTACTGACCGCGCTCCTCGCGATGGAGACCTGGACTGGACGCTTTCTGGGATTGCGGGGGACGTGTCCCTGGACGAGGTCTCCTTGGACGCCTTCTTCTTTCCCGAACGACCTCCTCCTAGCGTGGCGCTGTACGTGAAAACGTAGCCGCTACTTGGAACAGTGACGTCTGAATCCGCCATGCCACGCCGGTAGTCCTTGTCGATATCACGGACCCACACCCCAGACGTGGAAGTCGTCGGGGAAGCCGTGCGCGACTTGGCGTCGTCAGAAAGTCTCCCGGAGACGTTCTCGTAGCTGAGTTCTCGCTTCTTGGAATCAAACTCGCGTAAGACACTTCCCGGTCGACTGTCGCGAGCCGGCTCACTGGTGATGCTCGAGGCGTCCGAATCTCGGTCGTCCTTGTTCTTGTGTTCCCAGCGGCCCAAGTTAAAGCCAAAACTGCGGCTGGACGATTTGACCTTGCGGATGCTTCCGTACTCCGGATCCGGCGTCCCCCTACTTAGTGCCGGTGATGACGCGGCACTTTTGTCGGTGTAATCGTACGCGTACTTGGGACTAGTGCCCGGCGAGTACGGCCTCGTCTCCTGCGGACTGGACACGTAGATGTCGGGCGTCCTGAAGGACGTTTTTTTCGTCTTGTCCACCTGGCTGTACAAGTGAGACACGTCTGTCGCGAAGAACTCCTCCAGTTGAAAAGGCTTGACCTGCGTTGACTTGTCAACCATAACCGGAGGGGCATCTTCTTCGTGATCGCGATTGTCGTGATCGTCGTCATCATCAACATCGTCGTGGTTGTTGTTAACCTCCTGGAGGACGTCATGCCTAACGGTACCATCCCGAGTATCTGTTTTGGCCGTGGCTCGTTTCTTCCTGGTCAGTGGGGCCAGCATGACTTTGACGCCGTTGACGAGTTTGTTCCTCCTCTTTGGGGTCGGGCTCCTCTGGAGTTCCAGGGGAGTACCAGGTCTGGTGGTATACTCTTCGACCGAATGGCTTCGTACGACCGGTGGTGGCGGCGACGACTCTCTGGAGCTGCAGTCCTGGCGCAGCATGGCTTCCCGGTCGAACTTCTGCACGATCTTCTTGACGTGGTTTCTCTTCACCACGGGGGAGTCGGGCCTTTTTCTAGACGTCCTCGATGTCGACCTTCCCGTTCGGTAGGCCGCAGAGTCGGACACCGTCTCGTAAGATGTTTCTTCGGGGATTCGGGGCTTCTCCTGGTGTCTATTCTTATACACCTGAAATGACATAAATGCCCCATATGAGTATACTCATCATCACGAAAGATGATCCCAGCTTTAGGTCGTGAGCCTTTTCATCACTCAACACGCCACTGATACAATCATAGTGCCGGAGACTGGACACGCAACATCATACACAGATTCAAAGCTCGAATACGTAATATAAGCGCAGTTTTCGCAATAAAAGACACCCGAAACCAACCTGTATCATATGGTCTCATGCGACGCACTTTGATGAGACATCAAATATTGAAAAGGCTAAACTGCAAAGTGAAATTTTCACGCCAATGTAGGCCCCTTTGTCAAAATCTTACGACGCCTGGCCCGGGTAGTGCTATAGTCACAAAGAGGGTGAGAACACCGGGCCTCCTGCAAGCACACACTGGTTGCCTTCCGCCATGCTTTGGCCGCGCGTGCACGCTCGAGGTTCACGAGACGCCTAAGCGTTATCGAAAGTACGAAGCTCGCGCTGGAGAGGGGACGACTGAAACTCCTGACTGGCGTTTTCATCTTGCCGCCCCCATCCCACTGCTTACACCCCAAACAAGGTGTTCGCTACAGACATGTAAGGCGGAATTATTGGCGGACGCACCCCAAGCCCGTTCGGTGGCACGTTCATTTGATACGTATAGTAAGCTTCGAACATGTCTGCGGACAGTTTTTCGTACGACAAATGGGGCAGGACAGTCCTAGAAACGCGCCTTAAAAAGCCGGGGTCACACTACTCGTATGCTTCGTACGAAAGACAGTCTGCAAACAGATTCGAACGCGAGTCACCGCGAGATCCGTGGTTCGAATGCCGCGTGGCAATGAGTTCGAGGAGGAAATTTGGCGCGCGGCATTCGAACCAGGGAAATTATAACTCGTGTTTGAAGGCTGTCTTTTGCATGATGTATACGAGCAGTGGGAGCCCGGTTTTAGAGTGTCTACAGACTGTCTTTTGTATTGTATGATGTATTTGCAGTGGTTACCTCGGCCTTAGGCATTCAACCTTGTCTTTTTTTCTTTTTTTGTTTGGGGGGGGGGGGGGGGGAGAGGGGGAGGGCAGGGACACCGTAGACGCTACTTTTTTTTGCAAGTCCCAAAGGATCGGAACGTTGAGGTAATTTTTAGCGCGGAATGTGTTTGATCCGCCGAATTGTCCGAAAAAACCGTCGCGAAGTGGTGCGACATCGTGACATCACGCAACACCCTGATGTCTCGTGAGACCGTGAAAATCACGTGTGATCACGTGACTTTGTGACGTCACTTGACGTCATGATATCTTTGACATCATGACGTCATACTATCACGAATAAACACCATCACATCACAGTCACATGAGGTCACGTCACGTCAACCACACATACCATGTGACCAAATAATTCACAACACGTTCTGGGCTCCCCGGTTAGGGTCAGTCCGATCGAGGGCAGTGTATAATTTCTTTTCCGGTACCTTGCACCAAAACTTCTTTTCCGGGGACGGCGGCCCGTCGACGAAGTCCCCGGACGCCGCCCCCTTCGGTGGGCGTCTCGTGGCCCCTCCTGGGGAACTTCTTCACCCCTGACGGCCCGGCTGAAGCTGACCTTCTTGCCCGCCGAGCCCCTGGACTCTGCGCTGCGCACCGACGTGTCCGAGTGGTCGGAGCGCGTCGAGTCCGCCCGGTGCACGCCGCTCGGCATGATCCCCAGGGAGTCGCGGCCGCGACGGCCCGGGCTCCTCTGCCGATCCACGCTGCACGCTGCGCAACAAGAGAGCACACATCCCGCGAGGGTATCCGTTAATCCTTAGAAACGAGAAACAACAAAGGGCTACGTTTAACGGTATACGTTATCTGATCCCATTGCAGAAAATGCTGTTTTCTTCAATGGGATCTGTGAAAACACAACCAAAACCGTCGCTGCGGTCAGCTTTCCACGATTGGCCGAACCCCGGGCATAAAAGCATTGTCGGACTGTCAACTTACA